TAATTCAGTGAAGTATCCACTCAGGTTAGGCTTACTGAAGTCTAGGAGTGAGAGTTTATATTGTGGCTGTGGCCTAGAACCTTGGGGGCCAGCAGTTCTTGGTGGCCTGTGTCAGCTCTTTGTCCAGCACACATTTGTTCAGTGTGATCCCATTTTGATTCTCATCATCATGACTTCTTGAAAAATCTAGTCCTATACCGAAGTTTTAAAGGCTGTCATTTGCAAACTGTACTAATACACATCTTCAGTGAGTCACCTGGTGACCAGATGCTTTGTCGCCATAGCTTGAAATAGGCCTGATAACACACGTACCCCAAATGTGGAGGGGAAATTGAAGTGACATACATAGAGCGTAATGTGTTATCTTGTTGTTTTCTGTAAAACTAATACGATATCAAATGGAACAATCTTGATTAAACATAAAGTGTATTGTAATAAAAAGTACACACACCTCAGAAGTTTCACATGGATGGAAGAATTCGTAAGTTCTTAGGAAAGACAGGTAAGTGTGTTAGAGCAGTGATAGTAGCCTCTCTCCTGGTTCTCCCTCCCTCCACTGTGTGCTTCTGCCCCTACTGATGAGCTGGGTGCCCCTTCCTGCCTCCTGGTTGGGTGACTCATAGGCAACTTGAGATTATGCTTTAAACGTCCCATGGTGATGCTGGGGGGTACAGTGTTAAGTTGTTAAGCGTGACTCAGGGTGCCCTGGAAACTCTGTTCTTACTGCATGTTCTTCCCTTGGCAGGTGTTAATTAACCTTTGGCTATATAGACAATCAATTTTTTTTTGAAGAAATTAAGGACTGACCAGTAAATTCCCTCCCTACCATGAGCTCATAGCACATATTTGAAACATTATTAATTTTACTTGTAATTTTTTTGAAACACATATTTTGGCTAGTTTTGTGCTAGATGCATAGAAAATGCTTCATGAACATGTATCCTGATTTGTGTTAGAGTAGGCAGGTCTGTGTCGTGATTGCATGTGGAGTGTACTGCTAGGCAGTATGTCTGTTTGATCCTCGAACGGCACTAGGGTTAGGAGTGCTGACCCTCGTGCAGTCGAAAGCCCGAGTATGACTTACAGTCATCCTGCATATCCGTGTGTTGTGGTTCCTCCACATTCTCAGATTCAGCCACCTTAGGATCATGCAGTACTGTGGTACGTGTTTAGTGAAGAAAATCATATAAGTGGACCTACGCAATTCAAACCCGTGTTAAAGGGTCAGCTGAATTTATTTTAAAGGCACTGGGCAAGGTAGATGTGAAGTGTCAACTCTGGAAATTTTGTGGAGAGGTGCTTGTTCTTATTGTTTGTGGACTGATTTTGTTCTGCATCAAACTGATTGTCACTAAGCCTCATGAGAGCAGGAACTCTTGTGTTTACCACAGCGCCCCAGTTCCTGGGTGCATGAAAGCTTTGCGCCAACAAACATTTGGTGTCTGGGAGATCTGCATTTAAAATGCATCTCAGTCTCTTTCTAGCTGTGTGGACTTGGTGCAGGTTGCTTGATTTCTCTGTTTCCTCAGTTGTAAGATGGGGGGGTGGTAATATTTACTCTGCAGAGTAGTGTCAAGCCCCTAGCTCAGAAACTGGTGGGAAGTAGGTGCTTGATAATTGGTAGCCCTTGTTAGTGTTGCTGTCAGTGTTGATTGTTACAGACTCCCACAGTAGGATCTTTTACAGTGTAGGAAGTGGGGGAAGGGAGGGCTAATAGGAAAAGCAAATTTGTACTTCCTTCTGTTTGGCCATGTGTGCCCTCACTGCATCACGTACAATTCCAGAGGAAGCGAGTAGGAACTCTAGTAAGGCCTGAAGTAACCAGAGAGAGTACCAACAGAAAGATGTTTTTTCTCTTTTCTTTTTTTTAACTGATGAATGTGAACCCGACTTAATTAGTGCTACTCAGTGTCTATGCCTTTGAATCTCCAGTTCATTAGTGCTACTCAGTGTCTGTGCCTTTGAATCTCCAGGTCTCCGGGCTTTGGGCTGTCTCTGGTTGCTGAGACCACCAACGGCACCTTCCTCAGTGCTGAACTGGCCTCCAACCCCCAGGGCCAGGGAGCAGCGGTGCTTCCCGAGGACCTCGGCAGGAACTGTGCCAAGCTGCTGCTCGAAGAAATCTATAGGGTATGTCCTCAGCCTCTGCAGGTCTGGGAGGGGAGCCACCAGAAAGCAGTTCCTTGTCTCTCGTTTTTATTCGTTAGCAACTTTCTTCCTCTTCCAAGCTCTTCAGTCAAGGAATTAACCTGTTCCTACCCTTTAAACAATTTAGCATTAACTAGTTTAATGGGTTGGCTAAACGAGCCAATGAGCAGAGATCTATTCCCACTGGTGTGGGACACAGGGCAGGTAAGTTTCAGTTGGGAGGGCAAAGAACCGAAACAGTGTTATACAGGAGAGAGAAGGTAAAAATGAAGCATGTTAGATGGAGACTGGCCAATTGAAGAGCACACACCATCCTGATCAAAGCAGATACCGTCTCTCAGCCCTCCATTCATTGCCATAGGTGAGTGGGGGCTCATGCTTTTCACATTTTTGAAGAAGCTGGAAGTCTGGATTTGCATGTGACAGTTAATTCAGATGGGAAACAGTGTCAACAGGCTAGATTTTACAGGGTGTTCTGGAGCACAGAAGTATGTCTGGGAAAGTCAGGCCTGTGTTAGCATGGTAGGGAGCTTGGGAAGATGAGAACATGGGACAAAGAAAAGGTGACACAATACTGAAGGCCAGATGCACCACTTACTGCTTTACTTCTGCAACTCCGCTGGTGGAACACAGCTCAGGCCAGCCTGGCCCGACCAGTCCTCAGTTGCCACAGTTCTTTCTCTTCTGATCTGTATGAGCAATATGCACATCTGCACACACACACTTTACTCTGTTTCCCAGAGATAGTTGAGGTGACTCCAAATAAGCAAGGAAGAACTCGGGGAGAAGGAGAGATGTTGGCAAGAGAAATAAGGTGAAGCTGCCTGATAATTCATGCTTTAGGAGACCATACATCAGAAATTGACACATTGGGACTGACTATACTTCAATTAAAAAAAACAAAAAACAAGTCTATATACTTGGTGTTAGAGGAGCGTTGCAGATTCTGCTCCAAGATTTCTGTTAATCTGCACTGTTTTTTTCTGCCTCAGGAAGGTGAAACCTTTTCCTTGACATGTAGAAAATCCAGGACAGGCTGCAGGGATGGTTTTTCCTCTGCTGTGTATGCACACTAGGGCCCACATTCTTGAACTGAGCATCAGCAAGAACTGCACCGTCGTTTCTCAGTATCCGTTGGGGGTTGGTTCCAGGACCCCTTTGCCCCACTATGGATATCAAATTCCATGAATGCTCAGGTCATCCACATAAAACGGCGTGGTTTATTTTGTCTCTTCTCTCCTCCCAGTATCCACGGGTTCTGTATCTGCTAATTCAGTCAATGGAAATTAAACATCATTTGCGATTGGTTAAACCAGTGGATGTGGAGGGCTGACTGTGCTCTGGGTGATTTGCTATTGGATGGTGTGTAGTGTTTGTAAATCGTCTCTTCTCCAGCTAAAAAGCAGAAGTGCCTTTCTTCTTTGTTCTTACCTTTGTATTTATTCTCAGTTGCTAGACATCTCTGTAGTTCTTTCCTGAAGTCTTCAAGGATGTTTTGCTATGTTTAAAGTAGCAAAAATCAAATGTGAACCCAGTGAAATAAACCCACTAAGGCAGGTACAGTGGTAGTTTTGTTAGTTCTTCCTTTTGCCACTGTAATTTTTTTTTTAATGGGGGTACTGGTGATTTAACCCAGGACCTCACACATTCTAAGCATGCACTCTACCACTGAGCTATACCCCACCCCCTAGTAATTTATTTATCACTGTAGCAGGGTCATGGGTATTGATCCCTGCACAGGTCTTACTAAGGAAAACAGCTTATCTTCACAGTCTGCTCCCCTGATCCGAGTCAGCATTCTTTTAAATGTCTCATTGGTTGCAAGATGCAGTAGGTAAAAATGAACTGTTTCAGAGTTCACTAAAATTTCCAGCTTATGTAATGTCCATCTAGTTAAATGGAAGACAGCCTATAACTGTGTCATCAGTAGAGTGACCCTATCCCTGCTACTCACCATTCAGCTAGGAAGTGGCAGAGGAAGGAAATGTCCTATCATATGAAATCCCCCCAATGGAGGAAGTATCTTCTCACAATTCTTGTGTGGTCAGAATCTGTCCTCAGCTTTTTTGTTGCTAAATCAGTCCAATGTTTGATGCTAAATTTAGTGATTTTTTGAAAGATGAGTAGTAATTAAAAGTTGGGAGTAAATGATTAAGACGTTGCCCTGTCAGTTACTTAGTTCAAGAAGTTAGTCACCTAAACATTTGTGAGGAAAGGCTTTGAGGGAGATAACGTGGGTCCCTCAGCCCATATTGTCTGGTTCAAGTTTCCGTGCCTTGGTCCTGTGGTGGTTGGCAGGCCCTCTCTTTGACTGTGGGGATGCATCCATTTCTTTCCAGTAGACCTGGGAGAATAGGATGCATCGCATTGCAGAACAACCTAATGGGAGCCTACAGGCACAGCTGGAATGTGGGTTTTATATCCCTGTAATAGCAGATTATAAACTGCAAGGTGAAAGCACAGTCAAGAGAGAACACATGCAGTCTGAATTAGGTTGTTTTACTTTATTTTTTTACTCTAGTTAAGTTCTACTCTATACCATTTCATTGGGCCTGGACCAAGCTTTTTTGTTTTAGATCATTACGAAAACTTCCTTTGTTTGTGTGTATGATCTTTAATTGCTAAAAGGATGAAAATGCCTCATGTTTTTTGTGAATAATTCTTTATAAGTCTGTGATGTGACATGGTTTAAGTAGGTAATAAAAGTCCACCTCCTTTGAAGGTACTGTTTATTACCAAAGTTTTAATCCTTTGATCTAATTATGTCTCATCAGTTAGCCAAGCCCTCTTGACTCCCTTCCAGGCTTTCTGGAACTGCCCTTCCTACCCATCTCTTGCTGCCTCCATCTGCTACTCTCCTCCCTGTCACCCCCTCCTCCCTTGATATGCACTCTGGCTCTCCCTACTTGCAGAGGGGAAATCCTTTCCAAATCATCTCCAGCATCCTCTTCAGTCTAAATTTCTTCCTAACACTGATCTTGTCTTGTTACTTCTGTGCTCAGAGACCTTCACCAGCTTCTCACTTTCCCAAGATAAAGTCACAACCCTTGACTCAGTTAGAAAAGCCCTACATCAGGCTTCTGGCTCCACCTTTTCCCTGCAGTTTCACATGCTTCTCCTCCACAGAGAGCATGCAGCCACTTTCAGGCTGACCTTCTGGCTGTTCCTTACTGGCCCTGGGTCCTGTGTCTCCCATCCTCCTTCTCTTCCTCCCTCTCTAAATCCTGCTCATTGCTCCACGGCCAGCTCAAGTCCCCACCTCCCCTCAGCCTTCCTCTGGTGCCACGTGAGTGAGCACTCCTCCCCCTGCCCACCTTGGCAGTCCCCGTGCCCACAGCCCACAGCTGCTTCATAGCCTTATCCTAACCTTAAATTATTATTGGTTCCTGCTCATTGTCTCTTCTTTGTAGAGAGGTTGGAGCCACTCGGCACAAGGATTGCATCCTCTGCTGTGAGTGTGGCCCCACCTCTCCTTCCTCGGTATCCTGTACACAGACCCTAATATATTTATTGCACCAAAATATTGGTCTACTACATAATAAAAATAATTGAGAATGGCAGAATAATGACATAGCGATAGGAAGCAGAGACTGAAGACAACAGTTTAATTTTAGACAGTCTTATGAAAGGGAGCGAGTTCTCTGAAACACAGTTAGTTTTTTTGGTCCTTACATTCTCCACGGGTCAAGTTTTCCTTCTGGATGGAAATAAACATGTTATAACTCTTCTAGTCCTAAAATTTGCTAAATGAGATAAATACTTACTGTCCTTTATTAACTCAGAAAGAGCAAACAGTAGGATCCACCCCCGATTTCCCTACTCTGTGTCATACGTGGGGCCTGACAGTAGAGGATGAATGTCTACACCTGAGAATGGATTTATCCCTACCCTTACAGGCATTAAAAAGGAGAGAGGTGTATCCACCTAAGCAGCAGTGGACAACCACCTGTGCTATTCC